TTATTCATTGATAGCAGAGTAGATGGAGTTCTATCCTACTGGTTATGTATTAAATTTTCAGCGATCTACACAACTATTTTACTGGGAACATAAAGAGGAAAGATTGGTTAACTAGACTGATAAAAGGACAGAAAATGATCGTAAATGAAGCCGTCAAGTTTACCACGGCGTTTGTAATGAGATTATCATTATTAATTAATAAATAATAGATAAGTTTCATTAATTTGTTATATAAAGCTTACTATGAGGGATCTTTGGTGTCTTTAATTATCATGTTCTTTATAAGTGATAAATAATTTTCATTAATTTGTTATATAAAGCTTACTATAGGGGATATTTGGTGTCTTTAATTATCATGTTCTTAATAAGTAATAAATATTTTTTATTAATTTGTTATATAAAGCTTACCAAGAGGGATCTTTGGTGTCTTTAATTCTCATGTTCTTAAAGCGCAACCCACATTTTTTATAATTTGGTCTAAAGTATGACATTAGAGTATTAACTCCCAAGTATTGCAAACACAAAGTATTAAGGACTTATCGTTGTACGTTTGTGTCCGTGTGTTACTGATCCAAATATGACATCAAGGTATATAACCATGTGTTACTGACACCAAATATGATATCAAGATCTGAACTCTATTGTGTTACTGATTCAAATAGGGCATCAAGATCTATACTCCATTGTGTTACTGACCCAAACTATGACAGCAAGGTGTGTACACCCTTGCGTTACTGACCCAAAATAGGACAACAAAGTCTCTCCTTCCATTTTGTACTGACCCATATAGGATTTGAAGTTCTGTACTTTAATGCCTTACTACAGAAACTCCAGATATTGCATAAAGGTGTGCATACCCATAACGTATTAACCCTCAATATGACATGAAACTATATAGCCCATTTTGACATCAAATATGTACTAGAATGTATGGCTGACGCCCAGTGTGACATAATTATCTGTATATACGTGTGCTTATTAATCCCCAGTGTGACATCAGGTTCCTTTGCTTGTACATTTTATTGAATATGTTTGTATATAATATATATTGAAACAAATTGACTGAACTAAAGCTATTGATGGGGCTTTTATGAAAGCAGAGGAAGCAAGAAAGAACAGAATACACCATAGTCAGATTAAAATCAGAACTCAATACTCCGGAGTCCATCATTAGTTCCAATAACTTCAGCAACCAACAGAAAAGGTCGGATGGGAAATTACGTTTCCTGTACCACTTGTCTTCCGTTAAACCTACATGTATGACAGTAGGGAAGTTTTTCTGTCTCATAAGAGCTAACAGTCAGTGAACAATTACAGGGTCACGGATGCAATCGCTGCGCTAGAATTAAGTTTTCATGAAAACTGCAAAATATTTTCAGCAAAAACTCTACCCGGAGGAAAACTCAGACTAAGTAGAATTTAAGTGGTCAACATGACACGTCAATCTACTACCACTTGTTGACTACATCATGATGGAAGTCCTGTATATTACTACAGAGGATAAAACGTGACAATCAAATCACCATTGTTATTCTACCCGGAAGAAAACTCAGACTAAGTAGAATTTAAGTGGTCAACATGACACTTCAATCTACTATGACTTGTTAACTACATTGTGATGGAAGTCTTGTACATTACTACAGAGGACAAAACGTGACAATCAAATCACCCTTATTATTGTGGTACTGTCGGTTATGAACAAGATGTGGAACTGAAGAAAGACAACCGTGGTCTTCTGACGCTAACTCTTGCAAAATTATTCTGATGTGTTAAACGTTGTTTTCCATAAGACAAATTCATTTCTATAGCTCTTCTAGATTGTGGACCGCTAGATAATCTTCACGTCGAAAACTGTTGCACTGTTATATTCGTTTGATCGTCAAAGGGTTCTATTTGCAATGCACTATTTTTTCATTGCATGTATGTCGGTAGAGTACACCATATTTTATATGTTTTGATATCTTTGTTTGCGTTTAGGTACATACGATACTATTTTTAAAGGAATTGCTTTAAGATTGATTTAAGATTTGTTGATGATTGTGTACACTTTTGTGGGGCACAGTTTACTCTTCTAGGTAAATTTGTGATTATTTGTAAATTGTTTGTAAATTTGTGATTGTGATTTTTAATGTTTATAAAATCGAAGTTCAAACACATCTCAATGAATCCGTCATTTATGTGAGTATTCTTTAGAATGTTTACGTTGACTATCCTAATAATTGTATAACTCCAATCGTACTTATGTTCCTGATATATGGGTTGACCTTCCTCACTGCAGAGGAGGAGCGAACAATGGTCGGTGCTCCGGTAGGAACACAGTACCCGCGTGAAGTGTCCTCTTATATTTTAAAGTGACAAGTGTATTCATTAACCGACTTGTTCACTTTTTTTTACACATGTATATTAGTTTTACATGATTTCTGTATCATTATGGGCCATGGTTTAAAGGCCTTTTGATTCCTTACTGCTTTGACAGCGTTCGATCACCCTGACAGGACTGTAGAAGAGAATCCTAAAGGGACAAACGCATTGTAATGGTGTATCGGAGACTGTGAGAAAAAACACATCAATTCCCAGTGAGAGATCAAGGTCAAAAACTGTAGGTACGACGATGACAGATAGTCAAGTAGGTAACCACACACAGTGATGTTATCATAGCATACAATTAAGCTTCCATAAATATTGGCGTCAGATACGGTTGAGCTTGAGGCAGAAAACATTACCTAAACCACCGTACAAGACTATACGACTAAGGGTCAAAAGAAAAATTAAAAAAAAATTGACACAAATCTCACAGACCCTCGTAAACAACACCACGCAAACTAAAATTACAATTCTTGACCGCATAACATTACCAATCCTGACTTTGAACAAAACTTCTTACTAACGTATTCAACACATTTCTAGGCTGACAACACGAACCTAACAATACATACCTTAAGTAAGAATACAAAACACGAGAGTGGAGATCTAACTTACAATACAGAGACTATCAAATTCTGATCTAAATCGCCAAAAATAAATCTCTTGAATCGTTCGAAATGTGTAACAAAATCAAAGAGTTTAGTGGTAAGTATGCTTTTATAGTTGATCTCAGCTGACATCACAGTAATTAGATTGATTATTAAAACTTTCTAAATACACCAGGTGTAATTTAGTTGAGAGTTAATGCAAATGGCAAGGCCTTCAGACACTGACAGGGCAGAATGACTCGCTAATTACGGACTGTGTGGGTGATTTTAGGAGACCCGATATCTACATACTTTATTGATTAGACAGAAAGTCGTACTTAAACACAGGTAACAATCTCAATAGATATTACAGATTTTATTATAAATAGGTAAAAATAAGTGTTACGTAAATGATATCATAGTTGATATCTGAATTTGGTTGTAGACCAAGTTTGAGAGGAGAAAACGATCGCAGATACACCATGATAAAATCAGATTTCAACAATATCGGGATACAAGTGGAGTAACACCGTATGCTGCACTAATAGATTATATTTTATTAATGATTTAACCATGCTATTAAATGCATACAAACATAAACTATTACTCAACTAATGGAAAAAGACAATATTCGGGTATGTTGTAAAGGATATGAAAAAAAATGTATAATTGAAGAATTGACAGAACAATTCAATATTTCCGCGTATTGGTAAAACGAAACCAAATATATATATAGCCATGACGGAACCAGACAAGTATTAGAAATACTACAATTATCAAGCAATACAGTGCATCTATTCCTACAGTTATCAGCCTACATAATGTCTTTAACTGTAATAATTTTCGTTCTAGACAATGGCTTTCGAATACAGGAAACCTGACAGTGTCTTGTCCTATTAGAACCAAGCAATTTAATACTTACTGAGATAACCTTAAAATGTTTTGTGTTATGAGATTGACATATTTAACCAATGTTGATACTGTCTGATTACAATACGATACTGTCTATAGACGAAACACTATCTCTTATTGTCAAAAGATGTTGCTTGTTTACTATGGGTATGACAAAACTAGGTAATATTAGAACATGGAACGATGGTTATATTTTAATTGCTTACATGTTGCGTGACCAACAAAAGGTGTATACTGCTTAACAGGTGCTATGACAGCACTAAACAATATATAATACTGCAGAACAAATGTACAGTACCACACAACTGTTGTGATGTTTTGAAAGACGGAACCAGGCACAACGATAAAGCAACGGTCAACATTGTTTATTTTAACAAACAATGCCCAACAAACCTCAGAAAAACCATCAGAAGAAATGAAAATCCGAAAGAAACAAACATCCGGTAACAATGTTAATGTTTCTTTAGTTCGATTTTTAATATCGATTTGATAAACATTTAAATGTCGTGGGCTCATATTTCAAATAGATAGTTCTTTTGATTAAGGCAAGTCGTGTCCCGAAAGATCATATATGCTAGACTTTCAATGATCTTGTGGGGCACTACTGTATCTTGTGGGGCACTACTGTATGTGAAGATATGTGTGGCCCGGCTCTGAGACGTGTTCCAATGACGGAGTATCGCATTACACGGTCACAGGGAGAGTTATGAAGTGTGACATACTCTGACAGTGATACATCACCCAAGGTCGTCACGTCAATTAAATGTAGTATCTATCCGTAGTCTTTTAAACCTACAAAAAAATCGAACACGAGTAGTTTTACTTCAATTTCTGTCAATGCGGAAATGACGAGGTCAAGACTGAGATCATACCGGTACCCTATTAGCGTTAATAATACGGACTATTAACTCAACAATTAATTGGGAAAGTCTATAGTATACGCATGTCTCTCACCTGATATACTCCAAAAATGGATTTCAGTTGGTATATACAAAAAAAAACCCATTTTGATAGAAGTTAGTAGTTTATGACTAGCTAATTCAAACTAGGTTACAGATTTGGTCGGTTGTCACATCGTCTTTAGGGTTTCGGATAGTTCCTGCTAACAGTAGACGGTCCTAAGTTGACTTGTTCTTAGAATACTGCTGGTCAATTTCTCGTAGCAAGTTGATCAGGCGTTGTTCCCGGACGGTCAGTATTATAAAAAGTGGAGGGCAGCTATGGACAAAATGACATTCGGTCAGTTCCTGGTCACTGCTGTTCTTCTCATCAACACTTTCTGTAATGGTATGTATTACTTATTTTCATACAATAGAGATGATATATAGTATGTGGCACATTAAAGTCATTGTTATATGTCTAGTATGCTTTTTTGTAGTTTATTACATACTTACTAATAAATACGGGTTTTTTGTATATGCGATACGACACAATTGCTCTAACCCATATCAGCCCTCGCCGTATCACACCCCAAAACCCGTATCAGCCCCCGCCGTATCACACCCCAAAACCCGTATCAGCCCGCAAAACCCATATCACACCACTTTTGGGAAAAAAAATCGTTTTTCAATATTTCAAAAATAAAAATAAATCATAAGATAGTAGTTTTTATTAGTAAGTATGTAATAAACAGAATAAAACACGCCTATTTCCATATCACCCCCAGTATCAACCCTCGACCAATATCAGCCCTCGGGCCTTCGCCCCTTGGTCTGATATTGCAGTCTCGGGTTGATACTGGGTGTGATATGGAAAAAGGCATGTATTATTCTCTATATATTAATCTCTAAATTGTTTACACTTGCATTTTTTTATAACGGTTTTGTTACATTTCATTACTTGATGAGTATCGCGAATGTTCGGATCAATGCCTAAATAAAAGTTTACAGGTATTCACTCAGTCATCATTGACAGAAACAAAAACAGCAGTAAAGTCAACTAAACGTGTAATACCTAAAATATATACCTAATGTATGTTATATTTAAGGAGATATCACATTCACTAATTGAAATATCTCTATTAAATAAAGACATCTAATCTCATATTATACTTAGTATGTTAGATATCTTTATTACATTTAAATGCGACTATTTTCGAATTAGAGATAGTTCTATCTCATTGTTATATCTCTTTGACATTAGCAACTCCTATTTATGTATGACATTTTAATTTGGCCTCGTAAGTTTTCGCTTGGAAACATATTGCTGTTATTATAACATTGATTTAAAAGTATCTTTATTATATTATATTTCGTTTACAACGAAATTGTCTTTAGTACACTCACATATACATGTATGTGTACCAAAGGACTACCTACATCTCATTATCTCCTAGGGTCTGAAATCATATGAACCAAAATCTACTTTATGAGACTTCGTATCTTGACAATGACCTTTAGTGTGTCAATGATAATCAACTTACTCCCAAAGTCTTTGACAAACGTGACACTGTTATATCACAAAAGTTAACGTCCATTTGCTCAATAACCACATATCTACTTCCTCTGTTAATGGGGTTTACGAATTACAGTTAATTCGCTACCCTAATGAGTGAATAATTTTGATAGTTGGTTGAGATAACAACTAAATTATTGCCTCATTTTCTTTTGTCAAATTATATCACCGTTTAAGCACTGTTTTACATATACATGTAATATTTTCTGGAGAAACCAGCATTTAACGATAATACAAGTATATTATATTGTTGAAAGTAGACAAATATCTGGTAGATATACTGTCAAATGTACAAAAGAAGGAGCTGTAAGGTGGTTGAGATCGGGCTAGGTTGCTAAACCTGAGGTTCACAGTGTAGAGAGTCGTGTCATCATAGCTATATGTTTCCGTTGTCCATTAGGGTAATTGTGTAGCGCAGAAAAATTGTTATTAGTGTTTTCAAAGTATACTTAATTAGGCGAAGGTACGCTGTTGCATGTGGCATTTGAATAAGAAGACATAATATCTCGTTATTTTGTATGACGGAGTTCTATTTTAAGGTAACTATTACATTATGGATCGTATATGGCTTTTGTGTTTTTGCAACTTAAATGTCCAATTCATAACACTTGACACGATATGCAGTGTTGTACATTTCTATTAAGTTCAATATACTTAGCCCACTAATAATGACAAAATGTAATTTGATTAAAACAACAATGTAACAATGAATAGAAAATAGTTTTCAGTAAAACCTAGCTATATCTCCTCTAATCTAGTTACATGTACTTAAGAATAGGCTTAAGGTTGGCAAAGGACAAAATGACAGTCAAATTAAAACTTCAACGCAATGACAGCCTAACTTTCATTAGCATTGTCCAAAACTAAAATGCAGAAACATTAACACCGTTTGAATGGACGGAAATGTATATATAGTAATTCAAATACACACACATAGCTAGAGGACGATAAATGTAAACATGTATTTACAAAAACCACTCCAATGTTAGAAGATGTATATCGATATGATAAAGTTATTCCTCTCTCCCCTCTCAAAATAGCAGGTTGAATAGATTATCAGGTTCCTTGTACCAAAGGATCTTTAATACACATACCTAGTTGAAGTAAATAAAAAGGCAGGGTAATCACACCAAAGCTCCTGAAATATAGCCCGGTAACACGGGCTATATCCCCGGGACAGTGTGGTAGTCATTAAAACATACCTGTTCTTCATTTGCACAATATTACTTGCCACTACCCCGTATAAAAATTCAGTTTGCTTACCGAAATCTTGAACGGAATAACAATAGTCGAGGACGTGTCACTTTAACAAGTTTCAACGGTTATGTAATATTATATGAATATATCATAACGTGGAATTATTTTATTTACTTGTCAAAGAAAAGTCACTAACGGCTAATTTGTTTACAATTACGTATACGATACTATTAACGCGGAAGGATTTTTGAAGAGCACGTGTTGCAAGTGCATAATATGTTGGATAATAATACATGCACGCGCAAATACCATTGTCTCATAATACAGGGTAATTAGCCTATGAAAATTGTCGTTACTTTGCTGATTTGGTAGTTTTACTATTCTGACACATTCTTTGGAATTTTATCATAATGGTGGTATTTGTGCAATCTTTAGAAAGCTTATTATCTTTACAACGTTGAAACGATGCCAAAACCATGGAAAACCATTACAATTTGTAATGATGTCATGAGAGTCACAGTAAGTCTCGTGTGGCGAAAAATTTGCAGCATTTGTTTTTAAATAGAGCTTATTTCCTCTTGTAATTGACAGGAGCGGTGCCTGTGTTCGTTAATCCTGACCCCTTGGGGGGCACTACACTTAGTATAGCAGAGGATACGTCAGTAGGGACTACAATATACACCCTCCTCGCCACGGACCCCGACGGCGACCCTCTCACCTACGGCAAGTTTACGGGTGTGGGCTTCGACGTGATATCACCGGACAGTGTGGTCACTACCCAAACCTTCAGCGTCGCTATCCAGTCCACCCACTCCATCACTGTCAGGTCGGTCAGTTTAATCCATTTTATAATTGTGATTACATCACAGAAACAAACAATATAAAACATCAACACCCCAACCTGTCTTTACTGTCCTCCTGGTTCCGTTTGTGTTAGGGATATGCCCTACAGTTTGTGTACTTTCAAAATATTCAAATATGAAATATTCAGCGCAAATTCAAATTTAAACTTGATGAAATATCTCTTAAAAAATGTATTACCCGTTGTTCAGAAGAAAAAAAACCTGAATATGATGAAATTGTATGGTGAGGTATGTTTGTTTTCATTAGAATTTGATACACGCACATAGAAGCCGCCAGAAATGCAACAGGTGATGTTAATCAAACAAGCAATACTGAATTGTTTACAGATTTGTATCGACTAGAAAACATTAGAAAACATTAGAAAATATACGTAACAAACATGGTAATTTATCATTTGATACACGTAACAATAATTTGAACCTACTTATCTGTCGAAATCAGATTGAAATCGTACATATTGCAGCCTCCCAAAATACACACGCATACACTACACGCATGCATCTTGCACACAGGGGAGGCCGTCCTTAAATGACCTTAGCTGTTAATAGGACGTTAAACAAAATAAAACCAAACCAAACCAAAAGCAATCGTACAAGACATCAAATGAACACGTGCCACAAACATACAGTCTTTATAACAAACCTTATTGCACACATTAAACACATTACCTCAATATGATAAATAGTTTCAACTTCCCTTCAACGCAGAATTGATTACTATGACTGTAATCACTTTAACAAACTAAAGACAATATCACTTTAATCTTTTATACTTCTTTCAATTTAGGTCTTCACAGATTAATTGGGTAAATGTTTCATATACAATATGCATGCAGGTATTTTGTGTACAACGACATAAAAAGATATCAAAGTAGTAAATAATATGTTTAAGCAATGAAATATAAGGCATAGTTCATGAAATAAAATGTTATTTTTTCGCTGCAGTAAGAGATGTCTAAATGGCATTTTTACTAGTGAAAAAAACTCATGGATACAAACCAAATAAATACAGAATACACACCATACAGACATAATGACCAATCAGAAAGCTTGTAATGCTCATGTTCGTTATTGTCCTTGATAATGACGTCATAGAGGTCCGACATCATAAACCGTGTTCACACCCTACAACGTAAAGGTATCAGTTTGTTCTGAAATACTCGCATTGTGACAGAATGCTATCAGTAATTTTCACAGGATTTTGGACCATTGAGTCCTTGACTCCCAGGTTTTGAAAAGAGCGAGGCAAGACAAAAATAATGAGTCCCACAAAAAATACTTGTGTCCATCGAATGTAACGTAATTATACAAATTTTGACCAAAAAAAGATAATTTTGCGTCATTTTTCATTCGTTTAATTCTATGATTTCATTTAACCTGTTTGTCTTTTTAATGTCCCTATTGATGCCATGATGGGAATCATGAGAAATACATAATAAGCCATATACCGGAGCGTTTTGTGAGGGCAAAGATCATGCCTTGTCAGTGTAACTTATATTTTCTTGACAGTTTTTAATTACAACAGTACAACAGACACCTCTGTGTAATCGTTAGATCGTAATATTTACTGATAAATGTACCACTGGTCATCTCACTGCCAAACCACAAATGTTGCGTAATTCATTTATTGATCGTAAATCTCCCTTTTTTCGTTAGCAATATACCATCCCACCTGGTTTATTCAGATGTAGGTTTCCCTTAATTTGACCGGTACCGTAGGTGGTATAAATAGCACATCTTCAGTGTTTCGTTGGGGTTCACTATGGCCTTCTTTTAATGCTGGTGTCTCTCAGTTCCTACTGATTTTTGCTTATCGACCTTGAGTTGTTACACATTGTATGTTTTGTCCTTGTTATACATTGTTGTAAGTTTGTCCTTGTTATACATTGTTGCAAGTTTGTCCTTGTTATACATTGTTGGATGTTTTGTCCTTGTTATACATTGTTGTATGTCTTGACCTTGTTATACATTGTTGTAAGTTTGTACTTGTTATACATTGTTGTATGTTTTGTCCTTGTTATACATTGCTGTAAGTTTGTCCTTGTTATACATTGGTGTAAGTTTGTCCTTGTTTTACATTTTTGTAAGTTTGTCCTTGTTTTACATTTTTGTAAGTTTGTCCTTGTTTTACATTTTTGTAAGTTTGTCCTTGTTATATATTGTTGAAAGGTTGTCCTTGTTATACATTGTTGCAAGTTTGTCCTTGTTATACATTGTTGTAAGTTTGTCCTTGTTTTACATTGTTGTAAGTTTGTCCTTGTTATATATTGTTGTAAGGTTGTCCTTGTTATACATTGTTGTATGTCTTGTCCTTGTTATACATTGTTGTAAGTTTGTCCTTGTTATACATTGTTGTATGTTTTGTCCTTGTTATACATTGCTGTAAATTTGTCCTTGTTTTATATTGTTGTATGATTTTTCCTTGTTATACATTGTTGTAAGTTTGTCCTTGTTTTATATTGTTGTATGATTTTTCCTTGTTATATATTGTTGTATTTTTGTCCTTGTTATACAATGTTGAATTTTCGACCTTGTCAACCATTGTTGCATATTTTGTTCTTGTCTTTATGTTGTCAATATGTATTGATGCTGTTGTAGTTTTTTTTCTTGTGTTGACGACGTTATGGTATATGTTTTCATTGTGATGTTTTTATCATAAGTAGTATTCATCTTATTTTATTTTAAATGTGCTTAATAAACACTTTACATTGGATGAAACTCGAGCGTTAAAGGCATGTCAGCGTTAAAGGCATGTCAAACTCTTGCAGTGCATTTGATGGGACCTCGACAACCTACATGTCTATGTCGATCACCCTGACAGCCGCGGTGGCTGCCAATCCTAACAGTCCCGTGTTTCTTCCAACTTTATACGCCACCAATATCCCTGAGAATACAGCTTCCGGTAAGTATCCCTCGAAAACCCAACTTCAGGTCCGGTGAGTAATCACGCGACCCCCATCTAACAGCGTATCAATTTTTAGCTCACCTGCCCGAAGCCTGAGGAGCGGGGCCCAATAGGGGAAATATAGCAAATTCTTTAAAATCCTTCTTCTTTTTCTGTAGGAATGAAAGGATTTGTTCCATATTTGGTCTGAAGCATCCTTGGGTAAAGGGGAACCAATTTTGTTGAGATCCCCACGGTATAACCATATATACAATTGTGGAGTAAAAAGAGAAGACTACACATTTGCTTCCAGGATGGCCTAGGGTCTGGCCCCACCCTTTGAGGCAGACATAGTCCGTGGGTCATAACTTTGAGACGGTTGAGATCCCCACCCCAAAACCATATATACAAATGCTTGGCATAAAGAGACAAAGGTAGTTATGGTATTAGAATAGACCCTGGGGTCTGACCGAACCCCTAGGGACCTAGTTTCTTAGTCACAGCTTGGGAACAGTTGAGATCCCCACCCTATAACCATGCATATATACAATTGCTGAGTTTAAAGAGATGAATGCACATATGCTTCCTGGATGGCCTTGGGGTCCGCCCCACCCTTGGAGATTTAACCCCTGGATCGTAACTTCGAAATGGTCAAGATCCCCACCCCAAAACTATATATTGTTGGGCAAAAGAGACGAATGCAGTAATGATATTATAATTGATCCTGGGGTCTGGCCAAAACCCTAGGGATCTAGTTGCTGAGTCACAGCTTGAAAAGAGATCCCCGACCCATAACCATAAACTGTTGGGCATGAAAAATATAATACAGACATACTAACAGAATTGGTATTGGGGTCTGGCATATATTCCCTTGGATCTCATTTGGAGAATATTTTGCCATGATTTCTTAGATATCCAGGTAAGCGATACAGGCCTTCTGGGCCTCTTGTTATTTTTGTATTACAAATTATAGATCTCCAATACAGGTACCAGCGTTCAGGCACTCACTTGTTCGGATGTAGAAAGTACCACATGCACTCTAGCGATTCAGTCAGGGGATGACGCAAGCAACAAATTTACCATATCCGGTAACAATGTGCAGACAACTTCAACAGCAATCGACTACGATTCGATGTCAGGTCAGAGTTTCCTGTATACGCTAGTTATAACAGGTGTAGACACTCCAGGTTCGCCGTCCTCCGCCAATACCGCCACAGCCACCGTTTACGTCACAGTGACATCACAGAATGACAATACACCGTCCATTTCCGGTCCGTCTACATCAACGGTAAGCTGTATGTAAAGAGAATAAATATATCACTCTTCAAATACGGATTGTATTGGAAGTCGAATTCTTTTCATGTAGCTATTGCATTGACTTATGGAAAATTCATATTCATGGAATATTTCACACATCGAAAGTGCACTTTGAGGTACGGGATAGTGGTTGCTATAGCATCGTATCCGACAGACCTAGCTAACATTAAATTTTACCTTTATTTCATCGTTCCCACGCTTGATCACGTGGGCAGGTGTCAGAGGACAGCGCAGCAGGAACTACAGTGTGTACCATGACAGCCTCAGACGCAGATTATGGCGATGACGGTACACTGTCCTTCAGCATCGTCGGTAGGTATATCTGAAACAGAATACACATGATGTATGTTGTTAAAGCTGAGGTTAACATATTCCTCTTTTCTGGTGTTGATTCAGTGCCTTTGGATACTTCTGAATCCTGCATCAAACGTACCACCAATGTGTAACCGTTGTGCTTCAATCCATTGTACATGCGTATTCAAAACAAGGTGGAGAGTAACTTTTATAGTATATAATTCTTAAGGATGATACTGTATATGTTGACCAGACATAAGTGTATGGTTTCTCTATATTAGATTTGAAGCGAATGGTATTAAGAGTTCTATATTCTATAAAGTATCAATAAGCAAAATTCAAACATCACATGTATGTCATATGATATAAGTTTGTTTTTTGTGACAATCATATTATTTTTTCATTATTGGATCTTTTCAAATAAGTGGAAAGCTCGCTAATGGTGATATTTTTCGTTACTATCATGTAAGATTTTCACGATTGGATGATATAAGTACACTAGTTTGATCCTTCGATGTACATCAACGAAATCGTGCGACAGCACAGCAATGGACTTGACCGACATTAAAGTAGGTTCCTGCTCCTCTGTAATCTTCAAAAGACATGTGTTAGCCTAGCAATTTATTTGTTCACAACACCTGAATCCGATTTGTCATTGCATAGGCCAAAAGTGTAGGGAAGACATGTTTAAAGAGAGAGAACCTTTAGAGTTCGAAATAACGGAAACCCTGACTGTTCGGTGTGTTCTCTTCTTGTTTCAGGCGGTAACACAGGTGGGCTATTCGGAGTCTCCTCCTCCTCCGGAGTAGTTTACTTGGCGGGAACACTTGACTTCGAAATTACCATGTCGCACGAATTAGTAATAAAAGTATCAGATGGTGGAAACAGTGTGCTGACAGCGACATCTACCGTCACCATCACAGTTACAGACGTGAACGATAATTCGCCAACCTGCTCATCGGCACCTTATGTCTTCAGCGTCAATGAACAGACGTCTGCAACCCCAGTAAGTGTTACAAAATAAGCATCCACTATCTGAAATACTACAAAGTTCCCCGATTCCAGTCAGCTATACACTAGGGTGGTCGAGTGGCGCAGTGGATAATGCACTCGTCTTTCACCAAGGCGGCCGGGATATAATTCCCAGATCGGACATGAAAAGTATTAGTTCACCTGTCCGACCATCTGGGTTTTCTCCGGGTACTCCGGTTTCCTTCCACATCCAGATCCTCTGCCGATGCGCTTCCATCCAAGCCAACACGAGTGATAAGCATAAATTAGAAAATTGTTGTAAAATACCTTTTCCTAATTTCTCACACACACACGACATAAAGTTTACCTATATTTTACATGCAAATATATGCATCTTTTACATGCATTAAATATATTTTCCGGACTCTGTTTGTTAAATTCGCTGCACAAACTTTACCCTCACCCCTCTTTAACATTTCCTCTTTGTGATTACAGGTGACGGTGACGACTCTGGCCTGTACGGACGGGGACGCGGGAACTTCACTCCAGTACGCCATTGCATCGGGGAACTCAGACACCTGCTTCGCCCTGGACGCTTTAACTGGCGTATTGACGACAGCTTGTAGTAAGCGTCCACCTGAACAGGATCGCCGTTATATATTGTACCTTGTATATTTTTCTACACTTTTGTTAAGACTTAATGTCGCCAATATAAGAATTCAAATTATTGAGTAATGGATTGTTTAGGCCTCATAGGTTAGTCTGACATTTGCGTGACTTTGTTTGACCTCGTATGGGTTACCTAATTGAGACAATGTAATTGCAAAATCTTTCCGAACTGACCGAACGAAGGATGCTTTTTCATGAGCTCTGTTTAGCCAAAGAAATCAGTGGTTTATTGTACAATATATTTATAGAAATTCTTGTTTTCCAACTCTAAATAATATTTTTGAAGTGCATGGTCAGTGATGTATCTCTTGCAAATTTATTGTTCCAGTAAGAACAAAATGGGGCTCGGACCGAGTGGAATACATTTCGTCAAAACTATAGTGTTATCAACTAATCATGAACAAATGTTTTAGTAAATTTATGTCATTAAATTTGACAATATCTTGCTATTTTCTTGTTATTTTGTTAAATCGATATGATACTGTCTTTGATCGGCTACATTAAGTTTGCAATGTATAACAACTGTAGCGACCACTCGGCCTGCTGTAATTTCTAGAGACTTTTCAGATCATAAGCGATACGGTTGTGTAGAAAAAGTCTGCATATAGCTGACAAAATCTTACTTCTTCTGACTGGTCCTGACTTCTACTGTACAACGGTGAACAGTCTATAATATCACGGAACAGTGTTACTAAAACAAGACACCTGTAATACAAAAGGTACCTTCTTAAACTAACGTTTTCCACAATCACTCTTATGACGAAGAAGGATTTTGGAGTTTAATTTTTTTCCCCCAAATATTGCTAACTGCGCGATAGGCATTTTAAGTTTTTTATGTTTGTGCAGCTTTGGACTACGACACCGGAAGTCAGCACTACGCGCTGGTTACCACGGTGACTGACGGTACTTTCACCACAACAGTGACGCTTGCTGTAAACCTTGTCCCCGTCAACGACATCACTCCCAGCTTCGGGTCAAGCACCACGGTTACCATTGCTGAGAGTAGTTCTGCTGGTACAGCAATACTGACATATACAGCTGCAGATTCGGATGCATCACCGCATAATATAGAGAAATACGAAATCACGTCGGGTAAATATCTTGAAACTTTTTTTTTTTTGCAAAATATGAGATAGAGGAATGATACCAGTGTATGATAGAGGGTTCTGATATTGAGTTGAATAAAATATAATCTTATAATTTGTGTTTCAGTAACGAACAGTGGGTCCAGCTTTTTCATGATCGATATGACGTCAGCCGTCATCTATTTGTCCCAGGCTGTAGACTTTGAGACGTCACAGAATTACGTCCTCATATTGGAGGCCACCGACGGGGGCAGCCTTACGGTTAGTATTGCTGTGATGTTTTACCTGTAAAACCATGAACTAAATGTCACACTGCTGTCATAGTACCATACGTGCTTTGGTTTAATAACTTTCTTTTTATTTACAGGGAACCGGAACAGTTACTGTGAGTGTTACTGATGTAAACGATAACACGCCATCTTGTACTCCTACAGCACACGTGACCAGTGTGTCGGAAGACGCAGGTATGCTACTGCTATGTTGCACTTTACTTCATCCTATACCATGAAAAACACAGTATAGGTCCTGCTATAAAAAAAAGCGTGGACAGATCTTTAACTAGAATTAAAATATTTAGTAGCATGGCGTCAATAAAAAAGTGGAAGTCGTAACTCGAATTTGATTATGAGAAAGTAATTTTAGAAATTGAGAAGACATATATCAAAAGGGAAACCATCACCACCATAACCGGTAACAATACCAGGAAGTATGGAACAGTAGGCATTTCTTGCACCATATGTGGTACCTACTTTAGTTCCATCCAACAAATCCAGGAAAACAAAGAAAATCACCTTTATTCATTTATACTTAGACCCCGAAATCTCGAAGTTTAGAGTCAGGTCATGAAGACTATCAATAAATATCTTCGACATAGACTGGAGACTAACTTGTAACCAGACCGCAGCTATCTCCGGATCAGAATACGGAAAGGCTCCATCCTAGCGAATCTATAGAAAACGGAAATGTGGCCACTCTGTGTGACAAGGAACGATTCACAAAATCACAAACATAAAGTCTCGGGACTTTTATTTCACAATAGGAAGATTTTCTTTACTCATTAATGACACATAAGCCTCCCTTTCATTATTGAGTTTACATGATACTGGTTTTTTTTAACTTATCCGGGTTTCTGGGTAGACGCGTTCTCTTGACCAATTAACGACATAATAGAAGACATTCACAAACAACATATCTAAATCATCGTGTTTTGACCTCTTCTTCTCATAAGCAAAATGCAACTACTAAAGTAATCAAACAAATCATTGTATAAAATAACTCTAATTGCTTTACTTTTGCTTTAAACATATGTTATTGCCACTTAATTTGAACAAAGTCTCGGGATTGAGGACACGTTATATTTTATAATTATTACACCTTATCAGAGCTTTCTCCTGTTAAACATTTACATTTACATGACAACAATGATAACAGGCATACACATGAAGTAAATTTACTGACAACAATGCACTACATAAAAACACTGTTCAAAATATATTGCTGGATTTGATGAAAATATTGCGCATGCCCGAAAAAACGCACGTGTTAAGGTCCAACGAAAGATCTGATTTGCCAGACAAAAGAAGCTCTATTTAACTCTATACCTAAGGCATTCAAGTTATGAAACACAATGCGCCATTCAATAAGTGGAAGGCATTCTCACATGGATGCTGTACTACTGTACTATGCTGTGAATAATTTACATAACAATGCTTATCTACGAGAAAGATTTCAGTCCATACTGAAAAGGGACATGTAAAGGGAATCATCAAAACAGATGGAAAAAATATTATATTTATCTAATATGAAAAGAAAAAGAAAATTTTGCTACAATTGGACGTAATTAATATAATTAACTATTATACTTCAGCTTTGAACGCTGTGGTAATTGCCGACCTGTCCTGTTCGGACGGAGACGCCGGTACATCTCTCGTCTACTCGGTCACCTCACGGCCTGTGTCGACCCACTTTGCTGTGTCCGAGACAGGTGGAGTCGCCTCCCTTGTTGTTAATAGTAAGTATTCATTTTTATATTTTTTGTTTCTTCTGTCCTTCTTATTATTTGAGTTTCGGTTTACATGAAATACAAATTTATAAATGAATTATCTATTGTAGCCAAAGTTGTAAATTTGCAATGTTATAATAATCATAACAATAATATTCAACACTTGATATAGCGCCCTATCTAGCTAGAATACGCCACTATAAATCGCTTTATAGTACAAAGATAATCATATACAATTTTAAGGAATTCACGGGAACTGCCTTATCAGGGGTTAACTACTAGTCGTATGCCACCTGACTAACATCTCCCTATGTGTGTATGCCTGCTTGTGTGCTGGAGATGTATTGTGCTCTGTTTGTAGTGGGACCGTGCATCCAGCGGTATTGCCAGAGCACAGATACCGCAACATCAGTCCCAGATCATTTTATACCCAATCTGGGTTGTTGGAGTTGTGTGGGCAGGAGAAAAACAATTTTTCTGAATATTCTATGCGTATGACGACTTCGGGGATTGAAACCCGGCCACCTGCGTGGAAGGCCGGAGTGTTAACCACTCGACCAATCCTCCCTTAAAGGGTTATAAGGGGTTGTATGGGTACCTTTCTCCATTAAGTCTAGGTTTCGACACCCTTTGGACATGTATTTTGTATTCTTTTGACCTTGAATAACACGGCGTAGTAAATTTATAAATTTGTTTGGCTTTGTGCATCGACAAATATTTTTTTAACTAGTAGTCCTCTTTATTTCATATTCCTAAATATTGTGTAGTCAATTACTGCAATTGTGATCAGCTGAATACGGATTATGTGTACAAGATATCAAGAATATAAATGCTGTGTATAAAATTATGAATGATGGGTAAAAATTTATAAATATTGTGTAGAAGACACACATGCGTCGTCTGCCTTAACGTAAAAGTTGACGTTTCACTTTTTTGATTGACAGGTGCGTTAGACTACGAGACCACAAGTTACTACGTGTTGGCCGTCTCTGTCTCAGATGGCGGTACTTCTTCTACCGTCAGCGTGGTCGTCAATGTGGGAAACGTTAACGAGGCTGGTCCTGTTTTTAACCCTGGTTAGTATGTTCCTCGGTTATCAAAGATATATTCAAGTATGTGACTAGATGATGTCCATGTGCACACCACACCTATGATGGAATTATCTCGACTTTGCTGACTTTGCTGAGCTCAACTTGTCTTCTATAGTAACAACGATGACCATTTTTTTCTGTGACTTTTTATTAGAGCTGGTAGATTTATCGTGGGATATTCACAATATATATTTACATAAGAATTGTCAATTCGCCTAATCTTTCCTTTTCTGATCGAAAGTAAAATTCATCATTGTCATCCTTTATTAACTATATTTCAAACTTCAGTTGATACGGGCGAACTGCCAATGTATGTACAATGTGCGAATATATCGGCAACAATCAAGAAAAGAGAAAAATAAATCTTCAAATAACAGTCCAGTTCGTATGGTACAATTGGACGTGTCGTATGCAATGACTTGGAATCGCATATCAGACGAAGTAACGAGAGGCATAAGATGTAACAAATTAGTTTAGTAAAATATCAATATGGTTTCTTAATTGGCAGATTAAAGTTTCTGCATTAATCTAAGGTTAATACAAATGGACAGAACTCTTAGATGCAGGAGATGTCTTGATAAAGGATACGGTTATGTCATGAAACCGTTCGACATACTTCCCCAGCCACACGTGCACATGATCGAGAGCTTTGCAAGGTATGCAAAATCTTACCAGATTTCATGATGGATTTGAGTATTCTTGATCGATAGAAAACTGTAGTCAACAAATATCTGTCGGACAGGAATCCTGTCCTGTGCGGAATACCAGAGTTCAGTGGTGATTTGCAAAGCAGTCATTTGAATTCCACGATGAACTTAATTTGTCCCACGTTCCTCTCGCGTAATTCCTATATTTTCGTCTGGATTTACGCGTTTCTTCCTTTGAATCTACTGGCTTGTTATCTTCCACATTAAAATCTATGTTTCATAAAATAAAAAATCGTGAGAAATACTAATATTCTTTAAGCTCGTATTTTCCTATTTGGACAATTTCCAATAACGGTTTCCTTGGTTTTGTATTCCAAAAAACAATACGGACAGGCCTTTGTTTTGTTTTGTCCTTTTTTTTCGTCTGTTACTTGCCCCCAATCACTAAACTGTTGAATTTGTTTTGGAAGGTGGTTTCAATTATACTGCGCTAGTACACGATCTTTCCACAGGTATTGTGTCTCTCCATGTTTCAGCAGCTTCAAATTCTTATTCGTCTACCTTACAAATATTGACATCTGTCCCTGGTTTATCTAGCTGAATACTGTGTCTAATTCTCATATCAGTATTTCTTTGAATCGGGCTCGCTATCATTTCCCTGTTGTGCGAGTTTTCCAATTAGAAAGCTGTTACCGTAATTGTAATTAGTTTGTCATGTTTTGTTGTCACTACCTCCGTTCTCATTTTGAAGCGGTGACATTACTTGGATTACATTCCAGGTGCTGTTGATGAAGCAGACGTCACTTACTCATCCGGAATACCTGGACTATTTATCCTTGCGTTTTTAATGGGTCTTTGTACTCTTTTAAAGCTTTCCCTTTTGTTCATGTTTTGCCCACGTTGTATCGATTTTGAGTTTGAATGTGAATTTATATTGAAACTTCGGTATTCCCATTTTTTGTAGCTTAGATTTGTTTTTCAATTTCATAATGAACATCAGTTGTCATTTAAGATTTCTTCACCACTTTATTTAACTTTTGGATAAAGTCCTTTTGTTGATATAACATCAAATTGTGTTTGTGGTGCGTCTTCATATAGTATAAGTCTCGTTCAACCAGACTCTTGTTGCCTGCGCAAGTGATCAAGCGTCTGGTTGAACGAGACTAATAGTATATGTCGACAATATGTATTCCATTGATAAATATCCCATAGAAATCCTTCCAAACTGTTCAACAACGATATGTCGCTTATTTTCTCGACAGAGCCTCATCATGGTTTATTAACAGAAATTGGAGATCATACTCAAAACATAGAATTCTTTATACATTGTAGTTACATATGCCGTAGCGTTTTCTGAGTCGACCTCCGTCAGCAGTGTCCTGGCCACTGTGACTGCAACTGACGCCGACACCGACACCATCACCTATTCATTTGTGACGTCATACACTGGGTTCGCCATCGATTCCGCAGCCGGTACGGTCTCCCTGGCGACAAGCTTAGACTACGAGACCGCGACTTCTCACACACTGCTCGTGCAAGCTGATGACGGAAGCCTATCAGCTACTGCCACAGTTGTCATAACTGTGACTGACGTCGATGAATCATCGTCATCGTCAAGTCCATCTTCATCGTCTTCATCATCTTCATCGTCTTCTTCAACGTCTTCATCCTCGACGTCCACCTGTACGCCGTTCTACGAGACAGTGACTGGTATATCTGTGATAGCTAGTGCTGGGGCGGCGGCCTTGATAGGAGTTGCAACTCTGGCGGCGGGCATCGTCAAACTTCGCAAGGTGTCAAGGTAGATAAATCATATACTGTATGTCGGGGTATAAGGTATTATTACCTAGCTTCAATATAAAAATGGTTCCACGTGCAGGTGTGTCCACATTTCCGGTCCTCAACAAAGGTAACTCCTCATTTCCAGGAATTAAATCAGGTAGGTCATCGTTAGTGTGCTTTGGAGTAGGTAATTCTTCATTGCATGTATCAATTGCCAAGGTGAATAAAGTAATTAAATAATCCTAGGTATCAAGAAAGATAACTCGTCGTTACCAGGTATTAAGGGAGGTTTCTTGTCATCATCAGGTATCAAGGTAGGTAACTCGTCGTACAAATTGTAACAAGGTATTTGAATAGTTCACCCATTTTTATTATGTATATATATATTATGTAACCATAAAGTAGATATATTTTCTTTATTGTTATTCCATCATTCACTGATTTTTTCTCATTTTAGCTGAGAATGATTTCTCTTTCGGCTCCTACATGCTTTTTGATGTCATAAATAAAACAATTGAATGACGTCACGTTCTAAAATCAGATAACGCCGTATTAAAGCTTGGTGGTTGACATCGAATGCATTTTTCTCTGGGGCTTAACAAAATAAAATACGACTCCTTATTTTGGAAATTGCTTCCCTTGGAGTAAGATTCTGGAACGTACATTCCTTGATAGGATTTGGGTTCAGACACGTGCACCTTCCTAACGTTAAAGACAGATTTCATTCGTCATAGACAACACATAATAACAAGATATCAAGGTACTTTGCTCATCTTTACCTGACCTTAAAAAAGGTCAACTCCTCTTTGCTGGATCCTAATGTGGGTAACTCCTCTCTGTCGGATCTCAATGTAGGTGAACTCATCTCTGTCGGATCTCAATGCAGGTCAGGTCATCTCTGTCGGATCTCAATGTAGGTGAACTCCTCTCTGTTGGATCTCAATGTAGGTGAACTCATCTGTGGCGGAACTCAATGTAGGTGAACTCATCTCTGTTGAATCTCAATGTAGGTGAACTCATCTCTGTTGGATCTCAATGTAGGGGAACTCATCTCTGTCGGATCTCAATGTAGGTGAATTCATCTCTGTTGGATCTCAATGTAGGTCAACTCATCTCTGTCAGATCTCAATATAGGTAAACTCATCTCTGTCAGATCTCAATGTAGGTCAACTCATCTCTGTCGGATCTCAATATAGGTCCACTCATCTCTGTTGAATCTCAATGTAGGTGAAATCACTGTCGGATCTCAATGTAGGTCAACTCATCTCTGTCGTATCTCAATGTAGGTGAACTCATCTCTGTCGGATCTCAATGCAGGTCAACTCATCTCTGTCGGATCTCAATGTAGGTGAATTCATCTCTGTTGGATCTCAATGTAGGTCAACTCATCTCTGTCAGATCTCAATATAGGTAAACTCATCTCTGTCAGATCTCAATGTAGGTCAACTCATCTCTGTCGGATCTCAATATAGGTCCACTCATCTCTGTTGAATCTCAATGTAGGTGAAATCACTGTCGGATCTCAATGTAGGTCAACTCATCTCTGTCGGATCTCAATGTAGGTGAACTTATCTCTGTCGGATCTCAATGTAGGTGAACTCATATCTGTCGGATCTCAATGTAGGTGAACTCATCCCTGTCGGATCTCAATGTAGGTCAACTAATCTCTTTTGGATCTCAATTTAGGTCCACTATCTCTGTCGGATCTCAATATCGGTCCACTCATCTCTGTTGGATCTCAATGTAGGTGAACTTATCTCTGTCGGATCTCAATGTAGGTCAACTCATCTCTGTCGTATCTCAATGTAGGTGAACTCATCTCTGTCGGATCTCAATGTAGGGGAACTCATCTCTGTCGGATCTCAATGTAGGGGAACTCATCTCTGTTGGATCTCAATGTAGGTGAACTCATCTCTGTCAGATCTCAATGTAGGTGAACTCATCTCTGTCGGATCTCAATGCAGGTCAGCTCATCTCTGTCGGATCTCAATGTAGGTGAACTCATCTCTGTCGGATCTCAATGTAGGTGAACTCATCACTGTCGGATCTCAATGTAGGTCAACTAATCTCTTTTGGATCTCAATTTAGGTCCACTATCTCTGTCGGATCTCAATATCGGTCCACTCATCTCTGTTGGATCTCAATGTAGGTGAACTTATCTCTGTCGGATCTCAATGTAGGTCAACTCATCTCTGTCGGATCTCAATGTAGGTGAATTCATCTCTGTTGGATCTCAATGTAGGTCAACTCATCTCTGTCAGATCTCAATATAGGTAAACTCATCTCTGTCAGATCTCAATGTAGGTCAACTCATCTCTGTCGGATCTCAATATAGGTCCACTCATCTCTGTTGAATCTCAATGTAGGTGAACTCACTGTCGGATCTCAATGTAGGTCAACTCATCTCTCCCGGATCTCAATGTAGGTGAGCTCATCTCTGCCGGATCTAAATATACGTCAACTCCTCTCTGCTGGATCTCAATATAGGTCAATTCTCTTTACCGGGATCATGGTAGTAACTCATCTGTAACATGCTTCGAGGCTCTACGTCAAGAGACCGGGAGAAATTTTCGGACAAGCGACATTTCCTCTACATATTTTATGTATTTGTATATTTTCGCAATTAGTTTGTCTGACATCGTTGTGTTAAATCACTTTGTTCTGACACAACTTCAAGTATTTTGAAAACTCGAAAGTTTCTTTTTAAGATAGTTGAGGCTTTGTTTGTTTCTTTTTTTTTTCTCGATAAACTAATTATCAACACTGCTACGTTTTGGTTATCGTAGTTAAGTAAAGATAAAAAAACAGAATTATTTTTTAAAACAATACATGAAGTTCGTAAAGTTCGATTATTTTGAGAGAGAAAAAATAACAAACAACAATTTCAGAGGATTTACAAAATTTTGTTTGAATTAGTTTTAAAACAAAGTAATGAAAAAGCATTTGAAACTGTATATAATAGAAATGATCTTTTTTAATAGTTTACTGTTTATCTGTAAATAACACATATTTCTCGAGGTAGAAACGTCTTAATTTAGACAATATTTTATTTCATCACTTGCACACTACATTACAATACAGTACAGATACAACGAGGATCGGATAACAAGCTATAAGCTTATATTAATTCCTCTCCTCTAGTACAGTTGCAGCAATTTACATGGACATTTACACACATCATTGATGAGACGGACAAAACATCATTTAAATAATGAAAAAAATGTAGTTATACATCATTTGATTGGTAGTAAATGACAGAGACAACGAGCTGTTACTTAGTAAGGAATAAAAAGAAAATTGATTGATAAAGATTCCTAGGGAATCACATAGAAATAGTTACCTCAGTGGTGTAAAGGAAAACTAAGATACGTCTGATCAACCACCCCTCGATGTAGAACTGTTTACTAAGGTTAAACATACGTGTATGTAGGTGTATGTCTTTCTCCCTGTTTAACTATGCACATGTTCATTAAAGGACAGCGTAGCTAGTTTTCGATGTATTAATACAAAAACTCTAGCGCTCTGTTATTGCATTAGTTTAATTAAATGTTTAAAGATTACGTATATAATTTAAGCAAGTGTACTGGGGCAAGTAGTAGTTCAAAGCTTGGTTAGCCTTCAGAGAACTAATGTACAAACTGAATCTCATGTTTAAATACAGATTGAAATTTCAAAACTGAACGTATATATGTATTATATTCATACTTTGATTCAGGTCAAACATTATAGAATAAATCAAATATTTTCTGTTTCTATTTTTTCACCTTCAGTCTGACGTCCGGATCGGCTAAGCTGACTAAAGTTGGACAGGTAATTAAGTAATCTAGACTTGAATATGGTATTTGTAATTGTAAGAGTACAATTATCTAGATAAGTATACCGTCGAGTAACAGGTAGTCTCCTTTGTGTTTGCATGTACATGTAATGGACTTGGGATCAGGTCATAGTTTTATTTCACCAACTATGTAATCATCATCAGTATTAACGACCAGCGTTACCTACTAGCGCCAATCACATTTTGAGTCAATGAAGTCCTTTATGAATATTTTTATTAAAAGTAGGTGTCTCACGCGGTCAATTGTTTTTTGAACTCCTTTCCTACTTTGATGTCGACCTAGTATTAAAACGTTGAAATAAAAATTAATTTAAAGTCCGGATATATGTGGCTGTTCTAATGTATCATACATACCAGATACAAGTTCCACACTAACTCTGTTGTGATATCTGCGATGTGAGCTACATGACTCATCCTCATTAATTATCATATGAACATTCTCTGGAGTTTTTACGTTAAGTTAACTTTTCTCTAAGGTAGCAGATAAAAAGCCGATACGGACCCAAGCATGGACGAGTACGACAACAAAAGTGGACCCTTGTAAGTACTTATTCAGTTATTGATGTAGATCCATGCAGATTGTATCGCCTCGTGTGCATATGCAAATCAAGCTAACTGGTAATTGACGTAGACTCCTGTTATGTGTTTGGCCCAATGTGATTAGGGAGGTTAATATTTCTAGAAATTATCAAAAGGATGTTTTTATTAGTAGCTATTAGTCCCGGAGACTAATCAAAACCCAATCGGGACCCGCCGGCACTTTCCGTAAATGTTTACGGAAAGTGCCGATGGGTTCCGATTGACTATTACCTGTTAGCTGGAACTTATTTTGGCACTGTTTACTTTGGATGACCAGTTTAAGAATAAATGGTCTGTTTAATTCAAAAGATGTAACTTTTTAACGTTATACATGTTTTTTATATGCACCTTTCCCCTTGTCATATGTTTCTATATTTGTCTGGCGACTTCAGATATTGATGTTTCAATAGACCTACCACTGATGAATCTTTTAATGGACGTACGTAATTTCCATATGGCGCTGTTAATGTTTTGCTTTACCTAGTTAGGCTTTCTACATCGTCATACAAACTTTTTTAAATCAGTGATTCCTTTTAAATCAGTATTACCTTTTTTATTGTTTCATAAAATTGTTATAACCAAATTATGCCCGACTTGTTATGATGTGTGGACATCGGTTATTGTCTACAATATACTAGTAGGCCTCACCACGTGACAGTTGCCTTGTTTTCCAGTTACAGGCAAACCAATGAAGACCGCGTTACCACCATACTTCTAGAAGACAACTTATCTGGTGTGTTCAGTGAACAGGTGTACTATGACCACGTGTGTCTGTGATAACAAGAAAAAGTTAAAAACTGACACGGTACCAGATTTCTGTTTCAACACATGTCTCATATATCGATGTGCCAAAGTTTTGTACCTTATAATTGATTATTGTTTTGTATATCATCATCTTCTCAATAAAATTTCTTTATTCTTGAGTCGTATAGCGTGTGATATTCGTGTAGAATGAAAAGCATGTGATATTCTTGTATAAGGAAAAGCGTGTGATATTCTTGTAGAAGGAAAAGGGTGTGATATACTTGTAGAAGAAAAAGCATGTGATATTCTTGTAGAAGGATAAGCATGTGATATTCTTGTAGAAGGAAAAGCATGTGGTATTCTTGTAGAAGGAAAAGCATGTGATATTCTTGTCGAACGAAAAGCGGGTGATATTCGTGTAGAATGAAAAGCATGTGATATCCTTGTAGAAGGAAAAGCATGTGATATTCTTGTAGATGGAAAAGCATGTGATATTCTTGTAGAAGGAAAAGCGTGTGATATTCGTGTAGAATGATAAGCGTTTGATATTCGTGTAGAAGGAAAAGCGTGTGATATTCGTGTAGAAGGAAAAGCGTGTGATATTCTTGTAGAATGAAAAGCGTGTGATATTCGTGTAGAATGCAAAGCATGTGATATTCTTGTAGAAGGAAAAGAATGTGATATTCTTGTAGAAGGAAAAGCGTGTGATATTCTTGTAGAAGGAAAAGGGTGTGATATACTTGTAGAAGAAAAAGCATGTGATATTCTTGTAGAAGGATAAGCATGTGATATTCTTGTAGAAGGAAAAGCATGTGGTATTCTTGTAGAAGGAAAAGCATGTGATATTCTTGTCGAACGAAAAGCGGGTGATATTCGTGTAGAATGAAAAGCGTTTGATATTCGTGTAGAATGAAAAGCATGTGATATCCTTGTAGAAGGAAAAGCATGTGATATTCTTGTATAAGGAAAAGCATGTGATATTCTTGTAGAAGGAAAAGCGTGTGATATTCGTGTAGAAGGAAAAGCATGTGATATTCTTGTAGAAGGATAAGCATGTGATATTCTTGTAGAAGGAAAAGCATGTGATATTCTTGTCGAACGAAAAGCGGGTGATATTCGTGTAGAATGAAAAGCATGTGATATCCTTGTAGAAGGAAAAGCATGTGATATTCTTGTATAAGGAAAAGCGTGTGATATTCTTGTAGAAGGAAAAGCATGTGATATTCTTGTCGAAGGAAAAGCGGGTGATATTCGTGTAGAATGAAAAGCATGTGATATCCTTGTAGAAGGAAAAGCATGTGATATTCTTGTATAAGGAAAAGCGTGTGATATTCTTGTAGAAGGAAAAGCATGTGATAGTCTTGTAGAAGGAAAAGCGTGTGATATTCGTGTAGAAGGAAAAGCGTGTGATATTCTTGTAGAAGGAAAAGCATGTGATAGTCTTGTAGAAGGAAAAGCGTGTGATATTCGTGTAGAATGAAAAGCGTTTGATATTCGTGTAGAAGGAAAAGCGTGTGATATTCGTGTAGAATGAAAAGCGTTTGATATTCGTGTAGAAGGAAAAGCGAGTTGTATCCATGTAGAATGAAAAGCGTGTGATATTCGTGTAGAAGGAAACTACGTGTTGGACGTTTCTTAATGACGTCTATAGGTTTTGATTTTAAGATGTCAGTACTGCGGCGGTACCGACCTTACGCTCAATCGGGAACCGTCGGCACTTCCCGTAAACGGAAAGCGCCGACGGTTACCGATTGCTTAACGCTTTGTCTGTTTTATGGATAACAATTGAATCAATGGTCAAGTTCTGTTATTTTACAGCATTTGTGTTGGTTGTTTTAGGATTTGCATATATAGGAATGCATTGGTGAGAAAACAGACGAACATCAAACTGATAGATAACAATATATTTAACAACGCCACAGGCGTGAAACGTCAATTGCATACAGATGTTTTGCTAGAATAAGTCCATTACAGGCCATACAGCATCTATGAATATGTATTACAACAGCACAGGTAGACATTTCAGCGAAACGTATATCAGAATACATAAGTTTGTGAACAATGCTATACAACACCACAGGCTGGGAAACTTTAGTGAAAATTAGAATAAATTAGATTGTGAACAATGTTACAACTCCACAGGCAGTGACTTCAATAGAATGCACTAGTCTGTAAACGATAAGTAAGGGCTCCAAAGGCAGAGAAAAAAAAGAAATCTGGAATAAATCTATCCCAACAGCATAGGTAGTAAAACAATAATGAAATAAAGAATACATTAGGCTTTACACCACATTTTATATTCTTACAATACCACAGATTTAAAGCTTAAACATTTCAGCTAAGAAGCATCGATGATGTTCTATGAAATTCAAATTGTATAGTGAATTTAATAATGATTATAACTTGGTAAACATTTTATACTCGTGTCTTATTTTAGGATTGAATCTTGCTTTGGTCGATTGCATGGGGTGATGAATTGAGGTGGTCTTGAAACAAATTTAGCAGTTCATATTGAATTTGTTTCAAGACCAACTTAATTCATAGCAGTTCATTGAATTTGTTTCAAGACCAACTCAATTCATCACCCCATGAAATCGACCAAAGCAAGATTAAAAGCTTATATTTCAAACAACGTGTGTTTATTCAATAATTGGAACTTGTGAAGTCCATTCTGATAGTTTGTGCCAGGTTCTGGAGCTTGTGCAGGTCTACGTATTGACGTATGTAAAACAAATATAGTCCGTCATTGAAGGACCATCATACAACATGAAAACACAAAACCATATCGAATTTTTGTCGATGAGTTCATTAGATATCAAATTTTCTGACGCGTCATCGCAGGCTCAGCGGCGAGTCTACGCACGGCAGCCATCTTCAAACCAGCTCGAAGTGGAGAGTAGTCTCGTTCAACCAGACTCTTGTTGCTGCGAATAGAGAGTCTGGTCAAACGCAGTGCTTTCGTTTTGTGACATCATAACGAGGCTTACCGAGATTCTGGTAAAAAAAATCATTGGTCAAAGGTTGACACACCCTTTTTAACTTTTGAAGTCAGAATTTGAGTGGACCAAAATTACATTGAATATTTTAATTCATTAACCTGTATCTGCATTCCTGAAGTTTCCATGTTTTCACTATTAACGATAAAAATGTAAGAAAATGCTTCAAAAAGAATGATTTCATGTTTTTTCATTGGATATTTTACAATAATTCACGAAGCTAACAAGGCTATTGATACAAGTCAATCCAGATTACCTGAGTGAGAACTTGAAGGTGTTTTGAAAGGTGTACAGGTAAAATCTCACTTGCTTTGCATGCTTTTTTCAAACTTCAGTCAGCCTTGTTGGCTTTGTGCTTAGTAATGATTTATTCAATGGAAATATATGGCATTATTCTTGAGATTTGACGCATTTTCTTACATTGTTCTCGATAAAATTGAATACATTGGTACTTTAGGAATGCATGTATAGGTAACTTTTTTCATTAATTTCATTATTCATTGAAATGTTAAATAGCGTTGACATAACGTCCGGAAACGAAAGTAGAAATACTGCCCTCTGGTATTCTGTGTTTGACAAGACTCTTGAATTACAAGTGATCAAGCGTCTGGTTGAACGAGACTAAGTGGAGAGCCGCTAAATTTCAAGGTTCTACATCTTCTGGAATATAGCTGCAGTAATTGAATGTCGGATTCGACAGGAAACCAGACGTGGCTTGAAAGGACGGAATAATTCAATGTTCGACTGAATTTCCTACAATAATAATAATACAGTTTCACGTCCGATCGGGGAATCGAACCCCGGCCGCCTTGGTGAAAGGCAAGTGCGCTATCCACTGCACCACCGCACCACCCGACCACCCTAATAAATAATGTAAAGACACCTTGTGGTAACCTTTTGATCAAAGCTTCATACTTCATATGGCTATAGGAATGTTTACATTTCCCCTGCTGTCAGCCCTATATAAATAAAATCTGGTTGATATTAGTGGTTATGACAGTTTATTGTCGATAGTGACTTCGATATCTTTTTCAGTTTCGGTATATGGAAGTTCTTTTCCATCTTCTAAAAGGAATTTATTGCCGTCATTTTTACCAATCCGCAAGGCTTGGCATTTATCTGGATGGAAGAACAGGAGCCACTTTTTGTTCCATACCTATAAATAAGTGAATGACTATGAAGAAGCGTCAACAGAAGCAATGAATTATGTTTACAAGGACGTAGACCATGAACCATGAACCTTTGTGCAGGTCTTCTTGTAGACGCTTGCAATCCTGGGCGTTGAATATGGGACGGTAGAATTTGGTATCATCAGCAAATAGGTATGATTTTGTATCCACACTCGTTATATCTGGGAGGTCATTTATGTGTAAAACAAATAGAACCGGTCCTAGTACCGATCCTTGTGGAATGCCACTGATCACTTCCTACTAGCATGATGCGTCTCCGTTTACTGTTATACGTTGTTTGCTATTTAGAATGAATGCCTTTATCCAGCTCGTAATTTTACCGGTATGAGTCGCTGGTGGGGAACTGTCGAATTGCCTTCATAAAGTCACAATACACGTGTCACAATAAACGTGTCGCAATGTTTCAAGACCGACTGGTCCCTTTAAAATTTGCCAAGCTATGACTGAGTAAGCGATTTGTAAAAAAAAATACCTGTACAACGATGTAATGAAATTGATATGTATGTGTACATCTGGGTAAATATTTGTGAACATAATACTAAGGTGTATTTAAAAAAATCATTCATTCCAGCTACGTACCCCTACAATGAATTCGAAACGACTGTCATAATGAGTGAGTAAATATTTAGACAGTTGTATATATATACGGTCATGAAATAAGATTTATCATTATATCCTTTTTTTTAATAAGGTTTGCTCTGGCCAAACACCCATACGAGACAACGGACTTAGATTATCACGGACCTAGATCTAATTCCGTGGATACACATTGTAATGTTTTGTCAGTTCTGTTTCACAACGGGTCTATAAGCTACCAGTCATCCGATCATTTTGAAGAGAATCGAATAAACAATCGGTTATAAAAGCCTTTAAATTTCTTGTGGTGTTTTTTTTTTCATATGAGGTAATTATAAACTCTACATTCAAACTTCGTTTATGTTGGTTTCCATAAATTATATGTTATTTTGAATATAAATCACCGTAATCAAAGTCGCACTGGAGTTTCGGGCTCTGTCCTACTTTTTTTAGACAACGCTATTTAACTTTGGTTTTACAGTCACCAGCTGTAGGCCCAACACGGCTACACCCCATTGTTGAACTGTCGACATCACTAAGACGTTTGTATACAATACGCAATATACAAGCTTTTACATGCTCTGAATTTTCCATTGACTTCCGATACTGACTGACAACTCATGGCAAAGCTCTTTGCCTTTGGACATACGGTGCTTTTACATCAAATTGTTCCTAATCAATAATTCTTCATTATCTTATTCTTCAATAATTTCTCATCACGGATGAGAAAGTGGATTTGGCACCCGGGTATCTAGTATTCAGACAGACGCCATGGCAGCCCCAACCACCGATTGTGTATCGTTGACAATTGCCGCCAATATAGCGTGCTCAATATCGATAGTACTGATAAACAAATGGCTTTATACGGAGTACGGCTTCCCCAACATCAGTCTCACGTGTATCCACTTCGTCATGACATCACTAGGGCTGCTTATATGCAGAAAACTGAACTTTTTCCAGCCCAAAAGCGTCCCAATCATGAAGATGATGCCCCTGGCCCTGACGTTCTGTGGGTTTGTTGTGTTCACTAACTTGTCTCTGGAGACGAATTCTGTGGGAACTTACCAGATCATGAAGACCATGACGACCCCCTGTATCATGGCTATACAGTCAACATACTACGATAAATCATTTTCGACAAAAGTGAAACTCACTGTGGTAATTTCTAAACCAAACAGAGACCCGACCATCTATTGGAAACCACTGGGTTCTGGGAATGACATACGTTTATACTGTTATCTTTCTTCAAATATCATATAATAATATAATTAGGTTTTAAATAACTATTCATATTTTTTTTCATAGTTAGCATTTGAATCTTTGAAAGAGAAAAGTATGAAAATAAATATGTCATTCAAGTACACTGATGTTCCACTAGCCCGAGTTTCCTCTGGCCCTAACACCAGACTTGGACATTTTGACATATAAATGTCTGGTGTGGGGCCAGAGCACACTGCTATATGAAAATGTGGAATTCTCCGACACCGTTTGGTATTGGAGAGTTATGAGGTGCTGACAACAAAAATATACTACGACAAAACACATACCTCAGTACTCGCATGTATCGATAAATGGATTATTTTGATTTTCAATTGTTCATAATTTCCCACCTGAGCAACCGCCATTTTTATAGGTCATGGGGTGACTAATCAACAAACCGTACTGATCTGGACCGAAAACATAATTATATTATTCTTGTTTAGAAGATTTCCGGACCGCATCCTTTTGTTGATTAGTCACTCCTTTAAAAACGGTGTCGGAGAATTCCACATTTTCATATAACAGTGCACTCTGGCCCCACAACAGACATCTATATGTCAAAATGTCTAAGTCCGGTTTCAGGGCCAGAGGAAACTAGGGCTAATGTTCAACTTGACTTCCACTTGAAATAACCAATCTTACATGTCAATATCTATTGTGTTAAAATGTGAATATGTACATGTTATCTGCTGCTTTAACATATTAAGTACTAGGTCCGAAACAGAAATAATGCTAGCTGGATAACTGTGAGTGCTTATTCATATCATAACTAAACTGGGTTCCATAATTTTTGGTGTCGTTAATGCTAATGTTGCAGATTTATATGTACTACTACGTGCTACACTGATTATATATTCTCCTGTAGCTCTAGAAAAATTATTCCACCTGTACTGTTAAGTACATATACCAGAGTAAATTTCACAAATTTAATAGGGTGCTTTTATAAATAGAACTGAAATTGCATGACACACAAAGACTGTATATATATGTACAGTTTCAGTTGACCGCCAAAGATTGGATAATTTATAATAACAAATTCTAGATAAACCTCAACATACTGATTACAGATATTAAAAAAAAATTCTCTCAGATTTCTGAAGGAATTTAATTATTCAGTTCTGGCATGGTATGCTTTAAAATACTCTCACTTTTAATCAGTTAAAATATTTACTTATTGATGTCTTGATAAAACAATCTAGATATGATGCTTAAGATTTAAGTTTAGTTTTGTTAATTTCAGATTCCAATAACTATAGGAGTTACTTTAAATTCAATATATGATGTGAAGTTCAACTTGCTCGGGGTATGCTTTGCCACTGCTGGTGTACTGGTCACGTCGCTGTACCAAGTGGTTAGTATAATAATCTATGTAAAAGTGTGGTCTCTGTTTATATAGAGTATTATATATTCTTAGAGTCTATTGTTCTATCATGAATATATTATATACATATATATGAGCTTGATATCTGGGTATATGTATTCTTAGAGTCTATTATTCTATTATGGCCCTTTCCTGAGGGAACTGTTCTCTTATAGTGTTGTCTGGGGAGGCACTATACCTCTCCAGACAACACTATAGCATATTGTCATGTGTTTACATATTTATCTGATGAAGTATTCTTTAAGCCTATAACTGTTATACATGCTTCCTGATACAGTTATCTAGTGTTTCTGTATGTATGCGCGATATGGTACTGACAAGCTGTACATATGATAACCTACTATTTTAAGATTTATAATTACTGTAGTATAACCAGTTGTATAAAATTCTAACAAGCAACCGTTGGTTTTGTTATTGACAGTGGGTAGCGGAGAAGCAGCATGAATTCCAGATGAACTCGATGCAGTTGTTGTATTACCAGGCTCCACTGTCAGCAGCCGTCCTCATTGTTGTCATCCCTTTCATCGAAGCACCTCTTTTCAGCTTCCACGGAGCTCTAGGCTCCTATCCTAGAAATGTAGTTGTGAGTTACATATGCCTGAAACAGTGTCTTTGATTAAAGTGCTTACATTTCTGCTGAAATAATTCTTGATATATATATATATATGAGCTTGATATCTGGGTATATGTATTCTTAGAGTCTATTATTCTATTATGGCCCTTTCCCGAGGGAACTGTTCTCTTATAGTGTTGTCTGGGGAGGCACTATACCACTCCAGACAACACTATAAGAGAACTGTTCCCGAGTGAAAGGGTCATAATAGATTTAGTACATCACATGACTGTCATTTGACAATAAAAAGTAACATATTTAATAATTAACAATAAATGGCAATAAGATAATATTTTGAGTAGATCTCTCCATTTTTAGGTCACCTGAGCTTTGCTCAAGTGACCTATTATAATCGCTTTTCGTCCGTCGTCGTCCGTCGTGCGTAAACTTTTACATTTTCAACTTCTTCTCAAGAACCAGTGGATGGATTTTTTTCAAACTTGGTCAGAATCATCCTTGGTAGATGAGGCTTCAAAATTGTAAAATTGGGATTCCTACCCCAACCCCTGGGGCCAGGGCAGGGCCCCAAAGGGAAAATTAATCAATATTTCAAAAATCTTCTTCTTCAGACTCAGAGGTACTACACTCATTTTCTCT